AATGAAGAGGTAGCGTGCCGACGGCGATCACATCGACTTTGGAACCATTCCCGACGCGCATCGTCACCTCGTCCTTCGCCAGTCTCCGCCTATTCCGTAGTTCCTGCTGTGAGTTACAAATGTGAGCAACTGCACCGGTATCAAATACCCAAGAGCTACTACGATTACTGGTAAGGTACACATCAATTACATGTATATCACATATACCTTTTGTTTTGCCGGCCTTCTTGTCTGCTAAGTACTTGGGGCAATTCCGCTTCCAGTGTCCGCTCCCCTTGCAATAAAAGCACTCAGTCTCGGGCTTGGGTCCATTCTTTGGCTTTTTTTTCCCGGCAGCTTGCTTGCCGGGCGCGGCAACTTCCTTGCCGTCCTTCTTGAAAGCTTTCTTACCCTTGCCCTTCTTGAACTTAGTGGTTTTATTGACCATCAATACCTGATGTTCCTTCTTGACTTCTACCTCTGCTGATTTCAACATAGCAAATACTTCAGGAATGGTCTTTTCCATCCCCTGCATATTGAAGTTCATCACAAAGCTCTTGTAGCTTGGTGGAAGCGACTGGAGGATTCTGTAAATGACCGCATCATCCGGGAGATTAACTCCCAGCTGAGTCAAGCGGTTATGTAATCCAGACATCGTGAGTATGTGCTCACTGACAGAACTATTTTCCTCCATCTTACAGCTGAAGAACTTGTCGGAGACCTCATATCTCTCGACTCGGGCATGAGCTTGGAAAACCATTCTCAGCTCTTCGAACATCTCATATGCTCCATGTCTCTCAAAACGCTTTTGGAGCCCCGGTTCTAAACTGTAAAGCATGCCGCACTGAACGAGGGAGTAGTCATCGGTACGTGCCTGCCAAGCGTTCATAACGTCTTGTTCAGCAGGCAGGACAGGTGCGTCACCCAGCGGTGCTTGTAGGACATAATCTTTCTTGGCAGCTATGAGGATGATCCTCAGGTTCCGGACCCAGTCCGTGTAGTTGCTGCCATCGTCTTTCAGCTTAGTTTTCTCTAGGAACACATTGAAGTTGAGGACTACGTTGGCCATTTGATCTACAAGACATATTGTAAATATTTTAGACTAATGTTCATGATAATAAAGTTCATCTAATCAAATTATATAATGAACTCCCACTTAGATTAGACATCCCTCTAGTCATCTAAGTATTACATGATCCGAGTTAACTAGGCCGTGTCCGATCATCACGTGAGACGGACTAGTCAACGTCGGTGAACATCTTCATGTTGATCGCATCTTCTATACGACTCATGCTCGACCTTTCGGTCTTCTGTGTTCCGAGGCCATGTCTATGCACATGCTAGGCTCGTCAGGTTAACCCTAAGTGTTTTGCATGTGTAAAACTGTCTTACACCCGTTGTATGTGAACGTAAGAATCTATCACACCCGATCATCACGTGGTGCTTCGAAACGACGAACTTTAGCAACGGTGCACAGTTAGGGGAGAACACTTCTTGAAATTGTTATGAGGGATCATCTTATTTACTACCGTCGTTCTAAGTAAACAAGATGCAAAACATGATAAACATCACATGCAATCAAATAATAAACGTGACATGATATGGCCAATATCACATAGCTCCTTTGATCTCCATCTTGGGGCTCCATGATCATCTTGTCACCGGCTTGACACTATGATCTCCATCATCATGATCTCCATCATCGTGTCTCCATGAAGTTGCTCGCCAACTGTTACTTCTACTACTATGGCTAACGCGTTTAGCAATAAAGTAAAGTAATTTACAAGGCGTTTCTCAATGACACGCAGGTCATATAAAAGAATAAAGACAACTCCTATGGCTCCTGCCGGTTGTCATACTCATCGACATGCAAGTCGTGATTCCTATTACAATAACATGAACATCTCATACATCACATATAGATCATTCATCATTCATCACAACTTTGGCCATATCATATCACAAAGCACTTGCTGCAAAAACAAGTTAGACGTCCTCTAATTGTTGTTGCAAGTTTTACGTGGCTGAATTAGGGTTCTAGCAAGAACGTTTTCTTACCTACGTTAAAGCCACAACGTGATTTGTCAACTTCTATTTACCCTTCATAAGGACCCTGTTCATCGAATCCGCTCCAGCTAAAGTGGGAGAGACAGACACCCGCCAGCCACCTTATGCAACTAGTGCATGTTAGTCGGTGGAACCGGTCTCACGTAAGCGTACGTGTAAGGTTGGTCCGGGCCGCTTCATCCCACAATACCGCTGAAGCAAGAAAAGACTAGTAGCGGCAAGAAGGTTGACAAATCCACGCCCACAACGAATTGTGTTCTACTCGCGCAAGAAGAACTACGCATAAACCTGGCTCTGATACCACTGTTGGGGAACGTTGCAGAAAACAAAAATTTTCCTACTCGTTTCACCAAGATCATCTAGGAGTTCATCTAGCAACGAGTCACGAGATGCATCTACATACCTTTGTAGATCGCGAGCGGAAGCGTTCGTTAGAACGAGGTTGATGTAGTCGTACACGACGTGATCCAAATCACCGATGACCAGCGCCGAACGGACGGCACCTCCGCGTTCAACACACGTACGGGACGGGAGACGTCTCCTCCTTCTTGATCCAGCAAGGGGGAAGGAGAGGTTGATGAAGATCCAGCAGCACGACGGCGTGGTGGTGGATGCAGGGCGTCACGACAGCAGGGCTTCGCCGTGTACTACGAGAAAGGGAGATGTAACAGGGAGAGAGGGGAGCACCAAAAGCGTGGGCCTCAAGTCCCTCCTCTCCCCCACTATATATAGGGGTGCCAAGGGGGGCGCCGGCCCTGGTAGATGGGATCTACCAGGGGGGGCGGCGGCCAAGGGGTGGGGGGGCTTGCCCCCCAAGCAAGGGGTGGCCCCCCTTAGGGTTCCCCCCCAACCCTAGGCGCATGGGCCTTGGGGGGGGCTGGCGCCCCAGCCCACTATGGGCTGGGTTCCCTCCTATTTCAGCCCAAGGGGCCCTCCGGGATAGGTGGCCCCACCCGGTGGACCCCCGGGACCCTTCCGGTGGTCCCGGTACAATACCGGGTACCCCGAAACTTGTCCCGATGGCCGAAACTGCACATCCTATATATAATTCTTTACCTCCGGACCATTCCGGAACTCCTCGTGACGTCCGGGATCTCATCCGGGACCCCGAACAACATTCGGGTTACTGCATATACATATCTTCACAACCCTAGCGTCACCGAACCTTAAGTGTGTAGACCCTACGGGTTCGGGAGACAAGCAGACATGACCGAGACGACTCTCCGGTCAATAACCAACAGCGGGATCTGGATACCCATGTTGGCTCCCACATGCTCCACGATGTTCTCATCGGATGAACCACGATGTCGAGGATTTCAATCAACCCCGTATGCAATTCCCTTTGTCTATCGATATATTACTTGCCCGAGATTCGATCGTCGGTATCCCAATACCTCGTTCAATCTCGTTACCGGCAAGTCACTTTACTCGTACCGTAATGCATGATCCCGTGACCAGACACTTGGTCACTTTGAGCTCATTATGATGATGCATTACCGAGTGGGCCCAGTGATACCTCTCCGTTATACGGAGTGACAAATCCCAGTCTTGATCCGTGTCAACCCAACAGACACTTTCGGAGATACCCGTAGTATACCTTTATAGTCACCCAGTTACGTTGTGACGTTTGGTATACCCAAAGCACTCCTACGGTATCCGGGAGTTACACGATCTCATGGTCTAAGGAAAAGATACTTTGACATTGCAAAACTCTAGCAAAACGAACTACACGATCTTTATGCTATGTTTAGGATTGGGTCTTGTCCATCACATCATTCTCCTAATGATGTGATCTCGTTATCAATGACATCTTATGTCCATAGCCAGGAAACCATGACTATCTGTTGATCAACGAGCTAGTCAACTAGAGGCTTACTAGGGACATGTTGGTGTCTGTTATTCACACATGTATTACGATTTCCGGATAACACAATTATAGCATGAATAAAGACAATTACCATGAACAAGGAAATATAATAATAATGCTTTTATTATTGCCTCTAGGGCATATTTCCAACAACTATACCGTTAGAGTTGATGGACTCATTTACCCTCGAAGCTTCCACAGTTATCTTATTTAGATGGTCTTCAGCCATAGCATTGTAATAAGTACTTTTTTGAGACATTCGATGTAATAAATGTGTGACTGCACTCTGTTATAAATTCTCGAGTAATATGTGTGTCAGCTTTATCGATCTAGGGATGACACTTATACACAGAGATTTGACCATCTAAGATCAGATTGCTACAATCTTTGCTACTCATATGAGTCCATATATTTTTCTATTTCGTCAATTGTTGATATCCACCGGGTATGAGTATGGACCACATTTGTGACCCATGGATATTTCATGGGCGGCCATGAACGGACTTGTGGGTATCAGTATGGATCTGCTTTAACTCTACCCATCCAAACTCATTCGATTACCATCCATGCGGGTGAGTGGGCAAACTTTGCACACAGTAATCATCAGTGCATCACTTTTGTTTGTCACACACACTCATGTGCAATCTTGCTACATAATTAACAATCAGACTTCTAGCCAGATTTATGCAGAAGGAAAGCTGGATTGGAAAATTTATGGCGTGAAAGTGTTTAGAGCATTTGCAATCGGACCCCTCACCCCCCCCCTACATGTCTGGGCGGACAACCTACACACTGCCCGGGCCAAATTTAGCCACCCAATTGGACCCCTCAAATGCAGCCAAAACATTAGGGTTGTCCTCCGCCCCTCGTATATATAACTCATATGTGGGTGGATAGGGAGGAGGAGGCGCAAACCCCCGAGATGCACATTGTCTCTGACGAGGAGGAGAAAGCACACTACGGTGCTGCGGGGAGGGATAGGGTTTACATGGATTAGTTTGCCGAGGCCAAACCACACCTCGTGGAGGCGGAACTTCAATTCTTTGCTAAGACGAAAAAGGCAAAGCAGAATGAGTAGAAAGACGAGATGTATCACAAAATCTCCAATGATGTCGACGAGATGTTTGACGGGTTCGAGAAGGAAGCGTACTACGTACCCGAGAAGGAGGAGGATGTGAGGCCGTCTACCGGCAACGACCACAACATAGGACCCTCCGACAGACCCTCCAGGGTGATCAACCACGACGACGAGAAACTCATTGAGTTCTGTATGCGTCTTGCTTTTTTTTTGATGATCTACTATTTTTTTAATAGTTTGGATTGTTTACCACATGTGTCGCATGGTGATACTCTACTGTTCTAGCATATGCCCACGTTGATGTGAAATTTTCTCTCTGCGACCCTATGTGGAATTTTTTACATCATCAAATTTCTTGTCACCCGTTAGAGATTCTCTAGGTTGCCTATGTTCTGTACCTTTGTTTGTTATTAATCACTTACCTTGTTTGCTTGCATCAAGTCCAGAAACCAAACCGTACGTGACAACGATGCATGTACCAATACTAGTTTCGTCCTCTTTCTTTCTGAAAGAAAAAAAAATTCCCCACATCAGGCGTCGCTCCCCGAAGCGCCACCACGCCCCGCCCCTACCCCTGCCGCAGCCTCCACGTGGTGGCGCTGCCGTGGCCCGCGTCCAATCAGGCGCCAGCGATGGCAGTGAAGGCCGGGGGTGCGAATCACGCGACGCGACCCTCGCTCAACAAGCCACCGAGAAACGTTGCGACGACAGCGAGTCCCAAACCTGTGTAAGCAGTTCAAATTTCAAACCCCGTCAACACAGAGTCCACAAGGCCGGCGTCCGCGCAAAATCCGGCACCCTTTCGCCGAGCCCGCAGCTCACTCACCGCCATTCGGGTCCCACGCCCCCCCGGGCCCGCCGCCGCAGCTCCAACGGGTTAACCCCCCCCTTCGGCTCGTCCCCTCGCCGGAGCGGTCTGATTGCAACTTGGGGTTCGGAGGTGGACCCGAGTCCACGCGCTTTAGCCTCTTCGCCTCGCACGAGCGCACAGCGACTGCTCTGCTTTGCTCTCGCCGCTGTGGGAGAGAGAGAGAGAGAGAGGGAGAATGCGGCGGCCACGGCGAGCCGGGAAGCCCGGGGGCGGCGGCGGGTGCAGGGGGAAGGCGGCGCCGGGGGCCGAGGCTGCGGCGGGAGCCGAGGAGGCTGAAGGGGGCACCGTGATCGCCGTCGGCGGGGAGGGCGACGCGTCGGTGGTAGGGATCCCGGTGGCTGGGGATGGCGGCGGGGAGAAGGCGCCGCTGGGGACGGCTGTCGCGGTTGCCCTGAAGAGCGCCGAGGGGGTGCCGGTGATCGCCGTCGTCAGTGATGCGGAGCCGGCGGTGCTAGGGATTCCGGTGGCTTCGCCGGCTGGGGGCGTCGGCGAGGAGAAGGCGCCACTGGGGGCGGAGGTCGCGGTGGCCGTGAAGGACGAGCCGCCCGTGAAAGGGGATCCGGCGGCCCCCGCCGCTGATCGGGAGGCCGATGCGCCGGCGGCGAAAGGTGTGGCGGAGAAGGATGACGAGGGGGTGAGGTGGCTCAAGCACTACTCGTCGATGCACAGCATACTCGTCGTCGGGGACGGGGATTTCTCCTTCTCGCTGGCGCTCGCCACCGCGTTCGGCTCCGGCGAGCACATCGTCGCCACGTCCTACGACTCCTACGGTTCGATCCATTCCATTCCATACCCTCTTGCTGCTCCTAATATAGGAGTATAGGACCAGATATGTGTGCTTCGTGTTCCTACTAGTAGTACTAATTTGGTTGATACTTGATACTTGATGCTACATTTTTGGCATTTCGTGCCCTGGACACGGGGAATAAATGGGGCCATGGGGGTGTACGGTACACACAAGAATACCATGTGCCTTGGACAATTTGGTATCTTGTGCTAGTTAAAAAGGATTAGATGCACTTTACTCGGTTAGGAACTTAGGATCAAAGTTATCATAAATTGGCTTCACATTCTGTGATAAAGGAACTAATCCTGCATACTCTAAGTTGACAAGGTAGTAATTTTCTTAAGCTGTATGGGGAAGACAAGGTGCTATACATATATAGTACATTTGAACATGAAGAAGGTAACGATTGTATGTGATATTGCTGAAAGTAATCATGAAGACCGTGTGTTATACTGTTTTTTACTGCTAGGAATTGTGTGTCATGGAAAAACCGCATCCATTCATGTATTGGGAATCACTGTTGCTATTTTGAGTTTTGTTTTTCTTCATATAGTTCGATTATGAACTGAACAAGTTAAGTGTGTACTACGTCTTGTTGGTTAGTCTGTTTCACTCTTAGGTTCCCTGCTTTGCTGATCAGAACTGTTTAGAGTAACCTGTTGTTTTGATATGGTCTGCACCTTGTAGACCAGATATATCCACACCATTATTATTTTTCCTTTTGTCACTCTGTTGTGTCAATGATCACTCACTCAACGAACTGTGACAAAATGTCCTTGGAGCAGGAAACGGGAAATGAATGAGTGAGAAATTAATTCAGTGAACATACTATATTAGGGCGTCAGGGTAGCTCAGAAAAATATCTTGATTTCATTCCATGTAACAACCACTCTTTCTTGTTTTTCCCCCTAAATATTTCGTATTTAAATCGTTTTTTACTTTATATATTTCTTATTTGCTCCACTCCTGAACCTACATTAATCTCCAAGAGATTTTGTTGTTCTGTGATCATTTTTCGATGAACTTATCTGTTTGGTCTGCATATCTTGTTTGCAATCTTCTCGGGCAGACGCTTTAAAGAGGAAGTATGGCAACGCTGAGGCAAATATAACAGAGCTGAAAAGGTTGGAATCTACAGTGTTGCATGATGTTGATGCAAAACTGATGAAGCTTTACCCTTCTCTGAAGATGAGACGGTTCGATCGGATCGTCTTTAACTTTCCCCATGCTGGGTTCAACGGAAAAGAGGATAACCCGCTAGTCATCAAGTATGTGCACTAATCTTTGGTAAATTTATGGATTACAAAATTGCTATCTATTTTCATATTGGCTGGTTGCATGATAATTGGTCTTAGTGACTTTCTTTCGTTTAAGTTTAATTTAGTATTCATGGGGCTGCATCTGTGTATGAGGAGTTTCATTGTTGGTGGTTCCGTTTGTGCATGTGTCATTGGATGGAATCTATAGGAATTTTTATTTTATTTTTTAGTTATGGCCAATGAGGACTCTCACGTTGCACAGTCTCATTGGTTGAAATGTGCTGTTTTTTATGGTTGCAGTAAGAATAGATAGCATTTTAGATATATTTTACATGCCATAGCTACATGTATTCAAGATGAAATTTATCTTATCATGAAGGCAGAAATATCTCCATGTACCAAATGCAAGAAAACTAAACTAGAATGTTTTCATTCGATTCCTGAACCTTCACGTAAACCTTATACATCACTCTGTTTGCTAGTTCCTTCTCTGCATCTACTACTACCTCCATACCAGAATATAAGACTTTTTGTAGGCTAAACTAGCCTACAAAAACATCTTATATTTTGATATGGAGGTAATAGTATTGACAAATCCAAGGCATTTGAACTGTAACATCAAACTGTTTTTGTAACTTGTAAGCAGAAGTTTCTATGCATATGAACTGTGAAGATTGGTTCGCTTATCCGTAAGGAGCTTAATGTTTGTCTGCTAATGGTAGTTAACTGATGGTTTCTTATTTAGTTTAGTTAACCCAAGAAACTTCTCAAAATCTAATGCTTTAACAGACTTCTTTGATCGTTGGTTTCTTAGCTAACTTCTTATTAACATGTTACTTTGACCTGTAGCTTGCATAAGCAGCTGGTAACTGGATTTTTTGCCAATGCACGACACCTGCTTCGGCCCTTTGGTGAAATCCACCTTAGCCACAAGACAGGATATCCTTACGACGCATGGGATATCGAGCAACTAGCCACTGAGTCTTGTCTTATTATGTTTGATAAAGATGTTTTCTGCAAAGAGGAGTACCCTGGTTATAACCAAAAGAGAGGAGATGGTGCTAAGTGCGATCAATCTTTTGCTCTAGGTCCTTGCTACACGTTTAAGTTCTGCATCGGAGACGTAAAGAAACTGAAGAAAGCACGTGGAAACGTTGGTTCAATCTCATCCCTTGGAGGCAGTAAATTCTATCCTGGCATCTTGGCAACTGACACGAGGCCATTTGATCTGCATCCACTTGCTCCAGCATGGCCTCGACCACACTTTCCTCCAGCCAACAGAGTTGACATGCCAATCATGTTTGATCCTTACCCCTTTGGAGGTCCTCCAATGGAACGTCCAGGTTTGCCACTCAACTTCTATGGCCCAGAGAGAGCTCCTTACTTTCATCACCAGGACATGATCCAGCCACTGTGCAGAGGGCCACCACTGCATGTTTTGCCCAATCAAGGCAGCTTTCATCCACCAATGGACATGATCCAGCCACTGTGCAGAGGGCCACCGCTGCATGTTTTGCCCAGCCAAGGCGGCGGGTTTCATCCGCCAATGCCCCGCCTCGTGCATCCGGAGCAGCCTTGGCACCAAGAGAGGCCTCCAGTTGTGCCACCATGGAGAAGCAACGACTACTACTCAGGAGAATATCAGAGGAGTCTGCAGCGGGAGTATGAGATTGAGAGGCAACTGATGCCTGGAGGAGCCAGCCTGGGTTACTCTGATTTCCTCGAGAATCGCTACAGGGAGTCGGATCAGAGGCGGGGGAGGCTGGAAATGCTGATTCAGTTCTACGGTGGGCGGTGAAGGATCGTTTTGGAGGCTGTGTCTCTGCTGCAAGGGTCTCACTAGAGCAGAGAAACTCTGTCCTTCCAAGATGACGATGCAACGTTCGACATGAGGTGTTTTGTACAGTTAGGGCCATTTTGCGTGGCGAACACCGACCACGAGTCCAGAACAGCACAAGTAATGCTGTTTTCTACTACTACTATCTGCTATCTAGTCGAAACGAATACCCCTCCCTATAGACAGCCAAGCCTCATTTTGCAATGGAGCTGTCTTCAGGGGCTCAAAACAGTCCGCGGTTATCTCGGTTTATCAACGGTAAGCCTGAACCTGGGGTATGTAACTGGCATCACTTTTGCTTCAGGTCTTACTTGTAAGACTTTCCTAATCTATCACTACCCCCTTATATGCAAGAAAATATTGCTTATGACTTGTGTGCTGCTGTCGTTTTTTCTTTTTGAACTTTGGAATTTGAACCGCCTGAGAAACTGCCACTGTTGTTATCTTAAACATAGAATTCGAACACCGATGCAAGGTAGAAAACACACTGCAGCCAGGTTGACAATTTTATGAAGTTGTTAGATGTGATACTCGTTTTTTTCTTCTCAGGTTTACGGGCTGTTTGGTTGGTGACCTGAGCAGCGAGCCTGAGAAAAGTAGACAGAGCAGCCGGAGATTCTTGCGACTTTAGCCTAGCGAGGCAACCTAGCTAAGATGCACTTTGGTTCGTGCCTGAGCGTACCTGAGCATTATGCAATAAAAAATGATAGTTGTTTCATTTTAAAATATAGTGCGCCTGTGCTTTTCGAAGTTTAACTTTGATCATAAATTTAACCAACAAGACCGACTGTGGCGGGAGCAACAATTATATTGCTCCCATTGCAGTCGGTCTCGTTGGTTATATTGCTCCTATCACAGTCGGTCTCGTTAGTTAAATTTATGGTCAAAATTGAAGCATGGAAATCAAGGATGCACTATATTTGAAACAGAGGGAGTATCAAGCTTTCATCGCTACATGCATGCACCCATCAATACGCTAAGCTGCATGCGCGCGTCTGAGTCTCATGCCTCCGATTCTGGTGGCCTGACTCCGGCTAATCATTTTTTTTCGATAAAGGATGAATTTTGAATTATTTTTTTGATAAAGGATGAATTTTGCTGATTCAAAGTGAAGCATCAAATAGATACAAAACATAATAAATATATATCCGTCCTCTGCATAATTAGGATGTATATAGTCAACACCAACACGCACACATACACAAAAACATGCCGGCAAATATCAAAGTCATACAAGACCAAAGCTATGCCTTAGCGAGAGAAAAAAAACCCGAATTGATCAAAACAATAGCCGACAAACTACGAAAACAACCATATATGCACCAATCTTCTCTTGACATCACACTGACAAGTAACAACAAGATTCTTCAACAACAACGCCTTCAAAAAAGAAATGACGCTCAAGCGTCACCATCATCGGATCCAACCACCAAAGGTTAGACTTTAGGTTTCACTCTGAAGAACAACTTCGAGCATATCTAAGCAATGCCTTCAACACTTCGACTAATCACATGCCTATGCGCATGCACAAATGCTCAGACCAGTGTCTGGCTTGCTACACTGGCTTGCTTGTGGCCAGGCACGTTTATCTCAAGGTAGCAACCAAACAACCCCTTAGTATTTGTGCGAATTAACCTGTGGTTGAGATGGTTAGGTGGACAGTGGTATCCCCAACCCACCAGGGTTCAAATCCTGGTGCTCGCATTATTCCTGGATTTATTTCAGGATTTCCGGCAATGCGCTTTCAGTGGGAGGAGACGTTCCCGTCGATGACGAGGTGCCTACGGTGACTTCGTAAATCTCAAGATGATGTGCCGGCTCAGTCTTTCGGAGGTGCTCATAGGGATAGGGTGTGCGTGTGTGCGTTCATAGGAGTGAGTGTATGCGCGTGTATATGAGCGCTTGTGTCTGTACTGATGCTCAAAAAAAAACCCCTTAGTATTTGTCAAGTGCCTGAGAATTTAGCTTGCATTGGTCAGTGGATTCTGTGTGGTGGAGCGGCAACACTCCAAGGCTGAGACGGGGAGGCCGGCGTCTGGTTGCGGCATCCCTGACAAGGCCTCACTAAGGACCTCACCGGTGGAAGGGAGGCAACGATTGACGGTGCAGGGTAGGGTGCGGTAATCGGCACCCAGAGGTGGACGGGGCCTAAAGTCACGTCTAGGGCGGTGGTAGCATGGTAGAGGCGGTGGCAAGGCGTGTGTGGCGGATAGAGGGTGATATTATGGACGGTATGCCCGTGTAGCGGATTTATAAAAAACATTTAAATTGTTGTATACTCTTTTCGTCCGAGAAAAGTTGTCCACGGCGTAGTTCATTATGATTTTTACAAATAAACCCTTAGAATTTTAAATCTCCTGCTAATTACCCCTTTGCTTCTTCCTCCTCCGGACGCCCGCGGCAGGAACAAGCCCAGCGCGCTGTCGGCAGCCACCGTAGAGCCCAGCGCGCTGCCGTCCACCTGCGCCGCCGCTGCCAATCCGCGGCGCCCCTGCCCGCCTGCGCCGCCTGCACGAAGGCGAGCTGCGCCGCCGCCCACACGAAGGTGACTGCTCCTCCGCGGCGACCAACTGGACGCCCGCCTCCTCCACGGCTGAAGGCACCTCCCTCGTCGCCCTGCTCGCGTCCCTAGCCGGTGCGGCCCGCGCCCTCATCCTCTGCCCGCTTCCTCGCGCCCGCGGCCGCCGGTGCGGGATTTGGGCAAGTCGCCGGCCGCCGCTTCCTTCTGCTGCCGCCGCGATTCCCTCCAGCCTCTGATGCTGCAGCTGTTGGGCGAAGCCAACGCCCCCAGATCGAGTCCTCGCCGTCTGATGCTTCTGCTCCTCCTCGCCGTCTGATGCTTCTGCTCATCCTCGCCGTCTGACTTCTCTGCCCCGCGTCTGCTGTTGAAAAGGTGAATTTGTAGTAGAAATTGAAGTAGATATGTGAAGTGGAAATTTAATTGGGCAGTGCTACACCTTCACAATAGTGTGCAACATCCACATTCGCCTGAAAGGGAGAAGGAAGGTTAAAAAGTCCAGGTTCTGTTAACTGAACATGTTCAGGTTCAGGTTCTGTTAACTGAAAAAGTTTAGATTCAGAAACATTGTTGGACTGATAGGAAGTTTGTTAAACAGAGCAATCTATACCTGTAATTTGTACTGTTATGCCTCTGTTACTCCAGTCAAAATTTTCCTGTGAAAATTTTCAGTCAAGCACAACTGATCATGTAACTTGAGAAGATTACTCCAGATTTTGGAAATAATCAATTACTCCAGATTCTGTCCCTCCTTTGGAATGTGAAGTCCACTGGAAATGAGCACAAGTCAGGTCCGTCAAACTAAGATTAGTCGAAAGCAACAGAAGAGCATTAACCAACCAAAGTTCCACTAGAATTAGGCCACTAGAGAGGAAATAAACAAGTGTGCACCATTTATCCAATTGCAAACATGCCTAAAGTTTCCAATTGCAAACTAAGATTATTTGAATCATTTGAATTTATTTGATTTATTTGGATTTATACACCATTTGTCCAATTGCAAACATGCCTAAAGTTTCCAATTGTCCAATTTCAGTCATTCATTTTAGTCCAATTTTGTCTTCTTATTTCTAGCACACTGACATAGAAGATTTTTGCTCTGATTCACTTTTAGTCTAAAAAAAGACATGACACACCAGAGAAAAAAGAAGAAGAAAAAAGAAATCATGCCTTGCAGAAGAAAAAAGAAATCCCAGAAACACTTAACTGTTTTAGACACTTTCAGTTAACTGTTTTGAATTGTCCAAGTGGCGGTATTGTTTCAGAAATCCCAGGTGACTCCCAGGTGACTGTATATTGTCCCGGTGACTAAAGTTTCAGAAATCCCAGAAAGTTGCTGCACCTCTTTACTAAAAAGGGGCAAAACTGATCATGTACTCTGAAGAAATGTTGCAATGTTGTCACAGTAATTACTTGATCAAAATAATTCTGTCCTTAACTGAATAAACTTGATTTAGTTAACTGAATAAACTTGATTTAAGTATATTCTTACAGAAACTTTGCCTACTTTTGTGTACTAAGGCACTGAAAACATGATCCTCCTCCTACATTACGTATATCCATCCATTTTCTTTTGGCCACAACAAGAAAGATCTCCTTTCATCTTTTGTACTCTTGGTATGATTTTCTAGACATAGCCCTAAAATCTCTAAACACTCTTTTGACAAGCAATACTTCTAATAAAACTATGCATAAAAGATCAAAAAACAGCATAAATTGGAAAACAAGCAATACTTCTAAAACCAGTTGCAAGCAAATCTACAGTAAAATAAAATGATCCCATAGTGTACTTAATTCAGAACACATGGAAGAAACTTGACTAAATGTACAGATTTTGGAAAAAAATCCAAGTTAACTAAATGACTGATTCAATTTTAGGCAACTTGGAGAAGAGATCACTTGATCATTGACTGTACTTAATTCAGAACACATGGAAGAAACTTGTTAGAAACTGAAACGGTTAATATTGAGAATTAAGTTACTCTAATGGAGTACCAAATTTTGAGAACAAGCCATCTGAAAAGAGCACTAGCTAAGATCTAATCCTTATGTCCAGTTAACCACTAATTTACTGTAACCAATGTTCAGAGACAAATCAGACTTGACAGTAAAGATCAAAATTTCAGACTTGACAGTAAATATAGTGGAAACTGAAGATTATTTAGGAACACACACTTGTTCCTAAACTTGATGTCGATTTAGCAACACAGTCTTCAGTGAGAGTATAAAAAATAACTACCCCATCTACTTAAGTGATTCTACACTAAACCAGAACAAGTTGATGTTCAGTCAAGTTGATTTCAAACTTGACACATAAATAAAATTTGACATCAATGAAATTTAGATTATGAGTGCCTGCCCATGACATCTGCATGGTTCTCTACACCACACACCATCAACACTGCTAGCTACTCCTACTCGATCGCCCCAGCTTTTGCCACGG